TGTTGTTTTTGAACCTAAATAAGGACTAAATTTCATCAACTGAAACTTTTTGTCATACAACACGCCCACCAAAATGGAACCCTTGGTAGTGGAAACACAAACATGATAAAGGTGACCCGTATACCCGCACCGTAACGTACTGTACCAGTCAATGGAAACATGCCATAACCCTACCTAACAGTAAAGTTACTAGCTTCATTGAGTGCATTGTGTCTGACATTGCATCTCTGAGATATGCAGTCGGAGGCAAAATGTAAACATTTCAACAAGTAATATTAGGCTAATAGCTTGCACACAGACCAAACAGTTTCAGCACATTCTGGTGACACACAATACCTATTGTATAAATTTCAAAATGTAAAAATAAAAGAAAAAGAATAAAAAATAATTAAATGAAACAAGCAGCATCTCTGCATATGTACAGTCTGCTGTACCTTGCTCTCAGACCTCTCAACCCATTGGTCCCCTCTAGTGGACTCCATGGCTCTTGACAGCGAACTCAAGCTCCTCAAAACCATGTGATCCATGACCAGACTCCTAGTTCTGGAAGCAGCCTGCTTCTGCTTCTGTTTTTTTTTTTATTTTATTTTTTTATCCAGAACCAGAGCTTGAAGCTGCATTTGTAACAGAGACCTATCCACACACGAGAAGAGGTGTGAATGATTTTTTTTTTTTTTTGATGCCCTGTTCTAAAGCTTCTTACTGTGAATAGATCAGATCCACACAGTGCTTTCTGCAGTGACTCACAGCTTTCAAGTTTATGTCTGATTTTCATTTACCACCAGAATTAGGTTATCTTTGAGGAAAAAGAAATAAAGAAAATAAAAGATTATATTTTTGCATAAGTGCAGAATCAATAAGGAAATTATGTCTATTTACACCATGCTGCTTGCCCGAACAGGATGATGACAACGGAGTGAGCTGATACAACAGTGAGCTGAATGATAAAACTAGAGTCTCCTGTTAGGGGTATTTACCACTGTGAACATTTCAGTTAATAAACTGGTTAATTAATTGATTATTTAATTAATTTAGGTGACACATTGGTGCAGTAACGTGCCTAAAGGAATAGTTAATCTAAAAAATGTTATCTTTGTTCTTAATCTGCTTGACTTTTCTTTTTTTCTGTTGAACATAAAAGATGTTTTGAAGACTGGTAACTTTGGTAAATTATTTTTTCCTATTATGAATGTCAATAGTAAGGGTTTCAGCTTTCTTCAAAATATCTTTTGTGTTTAACCGAATAAACTTGAGAATGAGAAAATAGGGTGTTTTTATTTCTGAACTATCCCTTAAATATACTTTAAATAAATACTTTAAAGCTAAGCATAGCTAATGACTCGTAAATGACAATGGCAGAGAAATTGTGGACTATCTAAATAACGATTTACTGGCAATATACTATTTAGTGTTTGATTGAGATGTGTAAAAGAGGCAGTTTAAATGCATAATTAATACAAAGACATTCAACTTGCCTTACTGTATAGGGTTGATTAATGGTATATTGGATATCATTCCATTTCCCTATATTTAGTTCACCAGCACAGAATCCTGGTATCTTTCAATGTTACTCAAATTATCTGAACATTTGCTTTAATCCAGGGATTCCCAAACTAGGGCCACCGGGCCAAACCTAATCTAACATAGTCATATCATGACATATCAGTTGTTGTGTTGAACAAGCTCTTTCTATCTTCTTTATTTTTTAAAGTGACCAGGTAAGTGTAGTTGTCATGGCAAAACTCAGTAGTTCTTTTTCATATTTATTAAGTGATATCATTGAGAAATGAAGGACAACTAAGAATTTCATATTTGAAAGCACCAGAACAAACACACTTATACCAAACAAAACCATGCCTCTTTTTGATATATTTTCTATAGTATCTACATGCGCCTTACTGCTAATTGGCAACAAGTGTCTTTTGGGACTGAAACCAACACTGTGGTTAAAAGCATTTTTTTTTCAAATTAAGCTTACTGCTACACCTTTAAGAGACCAAATGGAAATCCTCCATCAAATTAATTTACAATACGTTTGTTTGATAATAACATAATTTTCTATTTAGTCTGCAAACTTAAATTAAATTAAAAAGGTTGTCGGCACATTTTAGACATGTTTATATTCATTATAAGACAACACAATCCTACTAAATAAATTCATATTATGTAGAATAACCTACTTAACTGAACCTTGAATCTTTTTTAATGGTTTTTGTCTCTTTAAATGTGGTGTAAGCGTAATACTACATTTAAGAAAAAGAACACCATACCAGCAGTAAAATGTGGTGCGGTAGTATGTTGTCTGGTGCTGTTTTGCTACTTCAGGAGCTGGAGCACTTGCTGTAATAAATGGAACCATATATTCTACTGTGTACCAAAATATCCTGTAGATGAATGTCCGGCTATCTGTTCATAACCTCAAGCTGAAGCAAACTTGAGTTCTGCAGCAGGACAATGATCCAAACACAACAGCAAGTCAATTTCTAAATGGCAGTAGACAAACAAAATGAAAACTGTGGAGTGGCCTAGTCAAAGTCCTGACTTGAATCCAATTAAGATGCTGTGGCTTTACTTTAACCCTTGAAACCCCTCAAATGTGGGAATTACAACAATTGTGCAAAGTGATTCAGAATGAGAAATATCATCCTGAGAAAATTCCTCTACAGCGCTGTAACAAACTAATTTCAAGTTATTGAATACTCTTGATTGCAGTTGTTGCTACCAATGGTGATCCGACCATTTATTGGTAATATTATGGGCCAAAAACTTTTTTCACAAAGGGCTATCTAGTTTTGTATTTTGTTTTCCCATAATAATAATCTTAATTTCAAAATAGTGTTGTGTGTTTACTTGTGTTTTTGTCTAATATTTCAATGTGTTTGATGATTTGAAACATTAAATTGTGACAAACAAAAAAAAATTAATTAAGTGGCAAACACTTCTTCACTCCACCATATAAATGACCTTATTTTTATTTGTATTTAGACATAGAATAAAACAAAGTTAAATATTTTACTCAAAGCCCTAATAGATGCATTTAATGCATACAAATTGAACATTTCCAATTGGTCTTTTAATTTCCTAAAGGTATCTTAACACTGACCATAACTCAGCACAGTATTTAGTAAGACTTTGGTTAGACAATGGCAATTCGGACTAGTTCAGAATGAAACAGTTTAAGGAATGTAGCCAGTTATCTACCTGAGAAATCATGCAGTCATTTACTCCCACACCTCATGCAGTTTTAGATTAGAATGAAGCCACTTTATCGAGTATTCCATGTTCACTACATATTTTACTAGATAATTATAATGTAGGGTGACGCGGTGGCGGAGAAGATAGCACGTTCGCCTTACAGCAAGAAGGTCGCTGGTTCGAGCCTCGGCTGAATCAGTTGGCATTTCTGTGTGGAGTTTGCATGTTCTCCCCATGTTTGTGTGGGTTTCCTCCGGCTGTGCTGTTTCCCCCACAGTCCAAAGACATGTGGTACAGGTGAAATAGGCATGCTAAAATTAACCATAGTGTATGAGTGTGTGTGAATGTGTTTATGTTTCCCATGGGTTATGGATGGAAGGGCATCCGCTGCGTAAAAAAATATGCTGGATAGCTTGGCCGTTAATTCCGCTATGGCAACCCCAGATTAATAAAGGGACTGAGCTGAAAAGAAATGAATGAATTATAATGTAGCTCAGGCAGTTGGAAAATGATCATACTGTCATGCTTTGGCAAGGATGATGAGGTCATGTTACAGATAACTAAATTAAATTTTACACTTTACTAAAACAGATATTTATTTATAAACAGGCTACAGTGAAAATATTTCTATATGAGAAGGAGACCTTTGTGAACAGATGATACACAATCTTGAAAGACAACCAATTGTATTATCCCCCCAAATAATTATATTTGTGTATTCATAGCAAAAAAAACGATTTGGACATAATATAGTACAAAGAACATCACGTACTTTCCTGCGTGTATATTTATTTAATTATTTGTTTATTTATTTATTTGCTTGCATACATTTCTGATGTGAACAGACTCTTAGTGTCCACTAGGAGGCTTGACTAACAAGGTATTTGTCTGGACGCAAACATTTATGGCGTAAACTGAAAATATAGACGAAACCATGCATTAAAGGACACGAATCGTTGCTGTTGGAGGATTCGGCGTTTGTTGGGTGAGACTGGGTCGACATGCTCATATATAATCTGCAAACTTCTGTAAAAATGACGGAAAAACAAACAAACACTTGGACGAGCTAGGCTAAGTTAAGCTAACACGGGTTTGCCGTATTATCCCGTCTCGCCATTTCTGTTTTAGAATAGAACTGTTTGTATGCTGCACAAAATAACAATTTTATTTTAATAGACAGATATATGCGCTTTAAATTATATATTGAGGATGAACATTTTAGATCGAATATTTTTTCTTTAACCATAAACAGTCCGTTAGCCGTCATTAGCACGTTAGCTCTGCCCAGCGTTGCGTGCTTAATAATAAAGAACACAAACGCTGCCAGGAGCATGAAAATAACGGTCGTTGTCGAATAAAAAATGTCTAATAATACTTTTTTTGTTCTTAGCCATAAAATATCAGTTACAGGTGGAGTTGACAAACATTAGCGCTGATAGTATCAGTTCTGGTGATTGTAAGGAACAGATTCAGGCTGCGTCCCAAAGCCTTATGAGCTTCCTATATAGACAGCATTTCGGGCGATATGGGCGTGTTCCAAGTTTCGAACATAGTGAGCTGCTTACCTATGCTGTAGTATAGGACTACTATTGATTGATTTAAAACGTTTGAATGCTATCGTAATTCCGCAATATACTGTAAAAGAAGGCAGCTTATTCGTTTTTTGTGACACAGCCTTAAACATCGGCCTGAACTACAGAAGGATAAATAAAACTGTAAAAGCAGACAAAACGTTACGTTTTTTTTTTTCTAAACTACACATCACGATATATTTTCCATATTTTCAGAGATATTTAAGATGAAACGCTTTTGAAATGGTGGATATTGTGAGTATGGCATATGCTTTTTTCCATTCTGGCCATTTTGGGATTTTAATGACATATGCACGAATATGACAGAAATCTTTTAAAACTCTCAGCGTATCTTGTCTATAAGTTCCTCTTTGTGTACATTTCTCTTTTTCAGAAGATAATCAAAGATCAACAGTCTCCCCTGTATTGGCCAGTCTAGTGTGCATCTATGAACTCCTTACCGCCCTCCACTTCTGCCGTCAGTAGCCCTGTCAGCTCCGTAGATTCGCCACTGTCAGCCGTCAGCTCGTCCATCGGCTCTCCTGGCGTTCCCGGCACCCCATCCATCGGATATGGACCCATCAGCAACTCTCAAGTGAGTTGCATGTTTAAGTTCTTCTAGAGATCTAGTAGGGATGTCCCGATACAACATTTTAACTTCTGATACAATACCGATATTGCAGCCTTCAGTACGAACCGACACCGATATAAATCCGATATCAGCACAAATCATGAATACTTTTACCTATTTCGCTGAGTTGAATGTAAAAACGGCTAGATCAAACTGAGAACAAAAGTCAGCAATAGTAAGTATGGAAATAAACAACCAATTTATTAACTACTGGTTGCATAAATGTGAACCTTTTACATAAGAATACATTTAAAGTAATTAAAGAATAAATATTAAGACCCTGAAAAATATCCTAATTGAAGAAACAAAATATTATTTTTTAAAGTGCAAAATACTAATTAAAGGTCACTTCAGTTATTTACTTTTTTACCATCACCAAATGGTAGAAACAGCTGAGAGCAGGAATAAATAAATAAATATGGGCAGTATGGTTAGTACAAACATTTACATGATCAGATCAGATGTTTAATCTGTGTTTGTATCATAAGAAGATTATGGCTGTATCAATGTTCCCAAAAAAACATTATAATTTTATAATAAATTATATTCCACATATTATCATTTATATAAATATTTTTACAGTAGCTGGATTGAAACACACCTTTTGCCCACAGCACATACAATAATGTGACTTTAAATAATAATTTTATTTATTAATATGCATTTTATTTGCATAATATATTGCACAGATTAGAACCTACTACCCACATGGGTAAAGTAGACAATGTAAAGACAGACAGAACTGTAAACTGATGTGCAAAGCTGACACAGTTTATCAGAGCACTTTATCTTTCTGAGATTTTAAAGGAGAGTTAAACATGGGAATGCCTCTAATTAAATTTTACTTCTGCCAAAAAGTAATACCATTCTTTCTTTTAAACTGTAATGGCCCTCAGCAACAGAATAATTTCTTATTCTTATTTAATAGACAATTAAAACAACAAAAATGTTTAGCATTTAACACCTTTTACATGACAGCTATAGAAAACGAAAGCAGAACCTGGGACATGTTAGGCGATTTAGAAATCCTGGCTGAATGTATTTTTAAGTCTCAAATAGAGGACATGTCCAGGAAAAAGAGGATGTATTGTCACCCTAAATAATGAACTGGGTCAGTTTATTTATTAAAGTCTTTTCTTCGCGTGTCATCGCGCTCTTCTTCAATCGACTACCAAAGTCAGAAGTCCAGCGCGTCTCTAAAGTTTGAAGCAGCAGAGCACCCGAGTCTGTTTAGTTTCTCACGCACACAGAACCGGGCCACTGAGGTAAAGTCTTGTATGTAGGAAGCGCTGGTGTTGAATTGAGTATCACACTGGATGAACCACGATATGCCATGACCGAGTTGTAACGTAAACGTTTTAAATGAGGTTCGCATGCTGTGCGGTTCATCGCCATTCAGTGCATTGCTTAGCAGCGTATACAAAACAATGTAACTTAAAGATCGCTTGACGTGAAGTAAATAAACCAGTAGAGATGTGCCGTTGTTGATCGCGTTAATGTGTGCTACCGTCACAATAGATTCTATCGTAATACACCATAACTTAGTGTGAAGAGCATGTTACATCTTTGCCAGCAAGCAGTGTTGTGATCACGTGGGCTTTGCATGCTGGCTCTGGGCGCTGCTGGATAGAATAGCTGTAACGGAGTTTAGAGAGTATCTGAATGCTTATATCGGAGATTTTCAACGCAGTCCTATATAATTTTTTGGACTGATATCGGACAAATTCCCGATATCAATATCAGATCGGGACATCCCTAAGATCTAGTCATTTTCCCTGTTGGATAAACAGCCTGTTTGCTAGTATTTTATTGTGTTTCTGGTGTTTTGGTTTTCTCATAGCTATCTGGGATTTTCTTTCTTGCAGATAAACTCCTCGATGTCGGTGTCTGCATTACATGCTGTCAGCAGCTCTGATGATGTGAAACCCCCCTTTGGCTTAAAGTCTGTCAGTGGCTCTGGGCCAATGCTCTCCCAGAAACGCATGTGTGCAATTTGTGGGGACCGATCTTCGGGTGTGTACTAAGTAATAGCCCCTTCAGATTACCCGTCCAATATTTGAAACTGAGATGAACAATTTATTTTGTCTGAAAAACAAATGTTTTTTGTTTATTAGTTTAACAGATGTCTATATGCTCTTCAGGGTGACTTGGTTTGCAAATGAACAAAGTTTACATTTTGCTGCTGTAGCATAAATTTTGTTTATAATTTGATTAGATTTGATGAAGAATAATTTGGTGTATATATATATATATATATATATATATATATATATATATATATATATATATATATATATATATATATATATAGCAGGTACAGTACATTATAACACATTACACAAATAATACATTACACAGATACAATACAGTTAATTGTTACCATATAAACATTCAAATGATGGCTCTAATAATAAGCAGTTTTCACAACAACTTCATTCAAATATATAAGAAATAATGAGGACATCACTCAGGGATGAGAAAAAAACATAAGAAATATTTTAAAAAGTGCATGTATAGGGATCTATATTTTTTTGGACACCATTTAATATAGTACATTTTAGAAATTAAAGCATAAAAAGCATGCAGACTTTATAATAAGTATGCTTTTTGCTCCTAAATATGTACAGACTTCAGTGCATTTTAGCTTTTTGATTATGTGTGCAGCACTACTTTTGATTTATTTATGTAAAATTGGCCAAATTCTGTGACTGTTTTCAGGGAAAAAGCTAATTCCAAAATTGCATACACGTTTGCAAAATTTTGAAACGATAGCGTTTTCTATTTCAACACTGCAATAAAAAAGTCTTCCTAAAATTGACATTTCATATAGAATTGTGTAATGTAATCTGGCTTTTTTTTCTTATAAATGTATTCAAACTGCAGGCATACAGCACTTTTAGCAAAGCAAACAATTGAGTAAAATGAAATGCTAATCACGTGATGACATTTGTGAAATAATACCATATACTCTCAAAATATACATAAATGCCATAATCTTTATACTAACAGTAACTGTTATTGAAATGGATAAAAAAGAAACTGCGCAATAATACAATTAATACAAAGAATAAATTCCGAAACTGTCACAACATTTTAGAAGATACTTGCCTTTTTTATTAGTACTAATTTTATAATAGGGTGATGTGGTGGCGCAGATGGTAGCACAATCGCCTTACAGCAAGAAAGTTGCTGGTTCAAACCGTGGTTGGGTCAGTTAACATTTCTGTGTGGAGTTTGCATGTTCTCCCTGTGTTCACGTGGGTTTTCACCGGGTGCTCCGCTTTCCCCCACAAGTCCTAAGACTTGTGGTATAGGTGAATTGGGTTTGCTAAATTGGCCATAGTGAATGTGTGTGATTGAGTGTGTATGGGTGTTTCCCAGTAATGGGTTGCAGCTGGAAGGGCATATGCTGTGTAAAACGTGCTGGATAAGTTGGCGGTTCATTCCGCTGTGGCGACCCCAGATTAATAAAGGGACTGAGCCAAGAAGAAAATAAATGAATGAATAATTTTAAATTATTTTTATACACCCAAATACCAGGTTTGTAGAGTGGGTATTTTTGTTTCACAGTGAATGTTTTAAATAGTAATCACAATAATTTTATTGCAGCTCAGAGATAACGTGAGAATGATTTGTGTGTGCAGGGAAGCATTATGGCGTGTACAGCTGTGAAGGCTGCAAGGGTTTCTTCAAACGCACAGTCAGAAAGGACCTGAGCTACACCTGCAGGGACAACAAGGAGTGTCTGGTTGATAAACGTCAGCGCAATCGTTGCCAGTACTGCCGCTATCAGAAGTGCCTGGCCATGGGAATGAAAAGAGAGGGTGGGTACCTGTCAGTCTTTCACTGAAGACACATCACCTGTAACATGATGAACTAGGTCAGCTCTCTAAATTATAGGTGGAGCCATGTAAAAGCAGTGTCATTTAATAAAAATAGTGTGTTCTTAATGGGAAGGTGGTGTCAATCTTAGCTCGTATTGGTGATCATCTGAAGCAACAGTGACAGCAGAATAATCATTGGGTTTAGTTAAACAATGTACAAACTATGGGTGGAGCGAACCCGAATACTCTATTCGTGCCTTTCCGAATTCCATGTTTTTACAAATACTTATTTCGAACAAATACTTGAAAAATTATTTGTATTCGGGACCAAGAAAAACACTGTATCAAAAAGCAGCGTTTCCTCATTAGACCACAGTGCATGCCCGCGTGAGTGAGTGAGAGAGATTGAGTGAGACGCTCAGGAGTCAGAGGGCGGGGTGGAGGTAAAAGATGTCTGGCACAGGCTTCTCCACACAGCAACAGACATAGAAGGCTCGGCTGAGCGAAAAAAATACTTCACTGCATCACTATTTTTGTTAAATAGATTTTTGTACCTTAATTGGGTTTCCAGAGGCAGTTTATAAACTGTAGCGGAGTTTGATCAGGACATTCCATTACGCTGCATTTTTGACAATTGCAATCGGGTGCTCTGTTTACGTAACATTAGCTCTGTTAGCGCAGTAATTTAGACGATAGACTGTTGACAGAGTAACGTCAAAGTTCATTAATAAAGGTTAAAACGATGCTTGTGTAGTTGTGTCGAATTGTATGCACTTATGGGAGTTATATGGTAAGTTTAAATCACTGTCTTTTGCAGACAGCAAGATATATGGCTATAGGCTAGTTAACCTTAGCATAGCTTCCCGTCACTTTTTGTTAACTTGAAACTCCTCAAATACATTTGGGCACCCAAATAGCCCAAATGTATTTAAGGAGTAGCCAAATAGCCATTTCTTGGTCCTCCACCAGTCAAAAAAAAAAAAACCTTCAAGTTCTGTGTGGAAGCATTTTACAGTCAGTGGTGCTGCAGATAAAACAAAGTAATACTGTATGTAATGTGTGCAAAAGCGAAATCAGCAGAGTCAGTGATATTAAACATCTGTCAACATCTTCTATGCATAATCATTCATTAATTTCTTTTCGGCTTAGTCCATTTATCAATCTGAGGTTGCCACAGTGGAATGAACCACCAATTTATCCAGCATATGTTTTACGCAGTGGATGCCCTTCCAGCTGCTACACAGCACTGGGAAACATCCATACACTCTCTTTCACACACATACAATAGGGACAATTTAGCTTACCCAATTCACCTGTATTGCATGTGTTTGGACTGTGGGGGAAACCGGAGCACCCGGAGGAAACCCACGCCAACATGGGGAGAACCCAGTCGAGGCTCGAACCAGCAACCTTCTTGCTGTGAGGCGACAGCGCTACTCACTGCCACCGCGCAACCCTCTATGTAATGTATTATCACATGCACTAAAAGCATCCTCTCCTGATACTGTCTGCCAACCCCTCACATACATCAATCGCCTCATCAGCTCAGCTATGTTCTGCTAAATCCTCCACATGCACCAAACCATCAACACAGCCACATTCTGCCCCACCAAGTCAGTTTCAAACATTAAAAAAAAAAAAGTAAAAATAACAAACAAACTTTGTGTCTGTTTTGTGGCAGGCAGATGACAATAGCAGGGCTGTATGTTTTAGTATTATATAGAATACTTTTGTTTTGCCAGATCTCCCAGTCAGGGGTTTATTTAGATTTATTTAGTTAATTTTAGTTTTTGGAATACTGTGCATTGGAAAGAAGTTCTTTCAGAAGAAGAACAGTTTTTTGAAGTATTATTTGTTTTTATTCTGTCTATTCAGTGTCCTTCAACAAGAACGGTGGTGGTAGGGTTCTTAATATTCACAATGGTTTTTTATTAGTTGTTGGTTTAACCATGGATGAGGTAATGGCTTCTATGTTATTTTCTTTTCAATGACGTTTCTTGTCACATGTTCAAAAACAACAACCAATATTGCATATCTATAATTTATATAATGGGTATAATTAAACAATCCAGTCATGTAGCTGGAAACAGCTATATGCCGGTCCCAAGCCCGGATAAATGGAGAGGGGTGAGGAAAGCAATGGCAAACTACCTCACAATTTTTGCCAAAAAACTTTATGGATCACAACTCAATGCTTTCAAATATGGTGCTGGAAGGTAGGCCCCCTGGGCTGGAAGGCATCTCACGACCTACCAGGGAAGAACAAGGGTGTTTTTCAAGTAGCTCGGGCATTATTGACGCGGATTGGACAAAGCCATCAGGTCGCCGACTTGCTGATGCTGCTCCAGTTGAAAGAACTCATCTGCGTTTTAGGAAGGTTCATAGCATCGGAGCTTGGAATGTCCGTGGCATGAGTATGGGCAAACTGGAAATCGTGAAATCTGAAATGGAACGTCTCAACATCGACATTATCGCCATTAGTGAGCTCCATTGGACAGGCAATGGTTTTTTTAACAGTGATGACCATACCGTCTACTACTCTGGGAACAACAACATAAGACGCAATGGAGTAGCTGTCATCTTAAACAAGAAAATTGCTAAAGCTGTTCAAAGCTTCAATGCTATAAATGGCCGAGTCATATCCATCCGTTTCCATGGGAAGCCTCGCTCGCTCACTTTCCTGCAGGTATACGCGCCTACTACTGATGCGAAAGTAGAGGATATCGAAAAATTTTATGCGGATCTCCAACAAGCAATTGATCAAGCACCAACAAAGGACACCATATTTATTGGTGGGGATTTCAACGCAAAAGTAGGCGCTGATGAAGAGCAAATGATCATAGGCAATTTTGGTTTAGGGGAACGGAACGAGGCTGGTGACCGCTTGATCCAGTGCTGCCAAGAAAATCAATTAGTGATTGTAAACACCTGGTTTGAACAGCCGAAGCGTCGGTTATACACATGGACGGCCCCAAATGGATATCGCAACCAGATTGACTACATCCTCTGTCAAAAACGCTGGAAGAACTCAGTACAGGTAGTCAAAACGCTTCCTGGTGCAGACTGCGGCTCTGACCACCAGCTACTCATTGCAAAAGTCAAATTTCGATTCAACACCATCAAAAGGCTTCCTACAATGCGCCGTTTTGACACCAGTAAGATCCCAACACAATATGCAGTCGAGGTAAATAATAGATTTGAGTCACTCGCTACAACTGAAAGAGCTCCAGATGAACTATGGGAAGAGATAAAATTGATCATAATGGATACAGCAGAAGGATGCATCCCGTATAGGAAATCAGCAAAAAGACCACCATGGCTCTCAGACTTATCGATTGAAATAGCCAATAAGAGACGGAACAGCCAAAGCCACTGGCAAGAGTTTTGAATTCAGATCTCTAAATGCAGAATTTCAACGGGAAGCAAGGCGGGACAAGGAGCGCTACTGGGATGAGCGGTGTTCAAAACTGGAAGCTGCTAGCAAGAAAGGCCACACCCGTGAGCTTTTTGACCATGTGAAGCAGGGGCGGGCATCATTTGCGCCCCGCAAAGCAGCAAATGTCAAAGATCGGAATGGTAAAGTACTACAGAATGAAGACCAAATCAAGAGAAGGTGGCGAGAGTACACAGAAGAATTATACACGGGCAATCAACTGAGTCATTCAGCCAATCAGGAAGACCCCAAAAGCGAGCAGGAACCAGATATTCTGGAGGAGGAGGTAGCCTGGGCCTTGAAAGAACTACCAAACAGGAAAGCCCCAGGCATTGATGGCATACCAACTGAATTACTCAAACCAATTCCGATTCATGTATTAACAACGCTGTGTCGACAGATATGGAAGACCAAATCATGGCCTAAAGATTGGACAAGATCAGTCTTTGTCCCACTCCCTAAAAAAGGCGATGCACAAGAATGCTGCAACTATCAGACAATCGCGCTCATACCACACGCAAGCAAAATCCTGCTGAAGATATTTCAACAACGCATGGCCTCATACATCGAGAGGGAGCTTCCTGACGTCCTAGCCGGTTTTCACAAAGGACTTGGAACCAGAGACCAGATTGCAAACCTGCGTTGGTTAATGGAGAAGACGCGTGAATATCAAAAGAACGTGTATATGTGCTTCATCGACTACAGCAAAGCTTTCGACTGTGTCAATCATGGCGAGCTATGGAAATGTCTGAAGCAGATGGGCATCCCGCAGCATTTAATAGATCTGACACAATCACTCTATAAGAATCAAAAGGCCACGGTCAGGACAGCATTTGGCAACACTGACTGGTTTGGGATTGAGAAAGGTGTTTGACAAGGATGCATTTTATCGCCTACCCTGTTCAATCTGTATGCTGAAGTGGTCATGAGGCTATCCAATCTGGACGAGTCACCAATCGGAGTTAAGATCGGCGGGAGAAACATCAACAACCTTAGTTACACCGATGATACGACCCTGATTGCAGAAAGTGAAAAGGACCTTGAATATCTGGTCCGAAGAGTAAAAGAAGAAAGTGAACACATGGGACTGTACCTTCGTTTTTTTTGATGTTGAGGTAATGACAGTAGCATGCAGTGGTACAGTCCACATAACAATTGACAATGAGGAAATCGAATCAGTCCAAGACTTCATCTTACTTGGATCCAAGATCGACCACAATGGTGAGTCAGGGCCGGAGATCAGACGAAGAATCGCACTTGGCCGCAGTGCAATGCAAGGAATGGTGAAGGTATGGAAAAGCAAGGACATCAGCATTGTAACAAAGATCAGAATAGTCAATGCCATTGTTTTCCCAATCTTTATGTATGCATGTGAGAGCTGGACACTCAAGAAGAAAGACAGAAGGAAGATCGATGCTTTCGAGTTGTGGTGCTGGAGGCGAATGATGCGCATACCATGGACGGCGAGGATCACAAACAAAACAAACCTGCAGCGTGTCAAACAAAATGTATCGCTAGAGGGCAAAATCACAAAGCAACGGCTCTCGTTCTTTGGTCATATCATGCGAGCCAACTCTATGGAAACAGCTTTAATGCTCGGTGCAGTCAGTGGATCAAGAAGAAGAGGGCGTCAGAGAACACGATGGCTGGACAATATCAAGACTTGAACATGGAACAACTGAAAGAAGCGGTCAGAAATAGGAAAGCATGGCAAATCATGATCCATAAAGTGGCCGAAAGTCGGTGTCGACTGATTGGCTAATCATCATCATAATTAAACAATACTTACACTATAACGTAAATTAGAAGTCTAATAGAAAAAAAATATGTATTTTTACACCATTTAGAATTTTACTCTAATACAAATACTTTCCCCCCCTCAACAAATACAAATTCAGATACAAATACCAGCTGTTCCGCACATCCCTAGTACAAACCAATAGTCCATGACAGTTCATTGAAATCTGTCGAATGTGTGCAGAAAACCACTAGCAAAAAAAAAGGGGTATACATTTTTGATTGTATATCTTTATTTAACATCTCACTCCACTGAATCCTTTGTCTGATTCATGAATTTTTCACTGACTAACTGAGAATTTTGCTTCATGATGTGTATTAGCTTCATGTATAATTACTGTTAATTGCAGACTGCTTAGTGCTTAACAAAAATGACAACAAACAATACACTATTCTAATTATTAGATTTGCAATGTTGGTAATTTAAGTGAAAACATGTTAGATCAGTCGATTAAAAGGTTCGTTGTTTTTTAAATAAATAAAACAAATAAATAAAAATCAGTTTATAGCTGACATGTATAAAAATGGTTTTATACATTATTAATTAACATTTTTAATTAAATTTAACAAGCATGGACACTCTTTAAAGGGTCACGAAACACCAAAACACATTTTTTGAGCTTTTGACAGTCGTATATGTGTCCCACACTGCTAAAAACACTATTAGAACACCTATATTTCACTAAAAAGTGTAAATTGGTTGTTTTTGCGTTATTTCAAGCAAATTCGTACTTCCTGTTTGAAACGAATTTTTGAAGTTGCGTCACGGTCATGACATAATAGCGTGTATTCCAGCGTGCAGACTGGGCGTCTGTGCCTGAGTGAGTCTTATTACGTCTTACAGTGTGATACATTAATGCATGAGTAAGGCTTGGTTCAAACCAATCAGCGCGCTCTATTGTGCAACTTCATTAATATTCATTTGTGTCACCGTGTTTACACCACAAAGACGCGACGTTGTGTTGGCAAAACAAGCGTGAAGTGTTGCTTTTATAGTTTGCTGCCGTTAAGTTTCGTTTTCATTTTCTCTCTGTGAGAGCTTATCTGGATCACGTGTGGATTAACAGTGTACGCGACGCTCGACAACAATAACTTGCGTGTCTAAGGAGGATTATTGTTTACCTGAGAGCTGTTCTCATCTGCAAACGCTGAAATCTGGATTTGCTTGTAGTATTCTCTCCATAAAGACGCGGCTCTAGTTGCTGGTGATTGTCCTGTCTCTACAGATTTGGTAAGTGAGCGACCAGTGCTCTTTGTTTATTCAGTTTGCTCGTATCGAATTAAGTTAACTATAGCACTGAGTGCAGAAATGTTAGCACCGCATTTAGTGACCGGAATAACACACGCGGCTTTCTGACGCTACCTGCCGTGTGCATCTAAGTTTCCGGGAAATGCTGAGTTTTTTTTTTCTCTCATTCGCCGTGCGGTATCAAACATTGCATGATAAATACACGCTTAGAGCAGTTCCTCGAATCACATATCTCGTTTGTCGCGAGGGGCATGAATGAATTCCCTGAATGAAAGAGCCAAACTGCAGTTAAAGTCCAACATTTAATAATTCAGCAAATAATTCGACTACAGATGTCCATGTAGGTTAAACACCATCGCTTTCTCCTGTCTGTGTGGGTGTGTATTTTGACTCTGAAACTCGCGCGTGCACAAATAGACACTCCCACACCATCCCACTTTAGTTCCTCCGACACTCCCCCCTAAACAGCTGGACACGCCCACTTTTCTGACTTTTTCGAAAGTAGAGGTGTGAAAACACCCTGCTGAAACGAGGGGGTTTCATGGCCCTTTAAATTTTAAGAACTGTCATAAATAAATGCTACTCATTAAGTGTGATTGGAATTTAAATCAAAACATTTAATTTCTTTATGCATTGTATGAAGATTCCTAAAAGGTTGGTAATGGTAGTTTTTATTAAAAACCAAGTGGTCATTTTTGGTGATAATCATTATTTAGAATTCACTTTTATTCAAATCAATTTGCAGTACACTTAGTTCAGAAACATTAACCCTACAGCTGCATTTCAGTCTTTCTAGCTTAGGGACACAATGGTGGTTGTTTTTTTTGGGGGGTTTTTCAGGTGAAATCTTGAAACTCTTGGCAACACCACCAAGTGTTGTGGAGCAGATGGCCTGGGCTGCATTACCTAAAAGCATTATAAGGCTAAGTATAACAAAAAATTATTGTGAAACCGATCTTTATAAACAGTGTGTTTCACAAAAGCTTGAAAATTTGCATTGATCTACAAAGTGCTCCAGTGCAACTGTTGAGCCCTATGCGCATTATAAGAAAACTCTATTATTCAGACTCCTATATTGGACATTACTTAAAGATAACCTGTCGTTCTTTTATCATTTTTTTCCTAGCCTTTTGTACTTGAGTCTACAAATAGGTGGTTAATATAGACTTGTCTTGATTGCTAATCCACGAGAGATGACAGTTACTCTGTTATATGTTCAGGATACAACTCCATAAGGTCATATTTCAGCACTTTGGAAATGAACAGCGACTTCTATGTAGAACAAAGTTCTAACGCAATCCCTTTTGGGAAGCGTACGTGAAGTTGCCATGAACATTCGTAACCTTTCATGTACAGAAAGCTCTTACAAGTCAAGATGCATCATTATCAGGAAATCCGTCCCTGGCTGATTCCTTTACATTTGTGGGTTTGCTTTTTTGTTCCCCCAGCTGTTCAGGAAGAGCGTCAGAAGAATAAGGAACGGGATGGAGACTATGAATGCAGCAGTTCAGCCAATGAGGAGATGCCTGTGGAGAAGATCCTGGAGGCCGAGACAGCTGTAGAGCACAGAACAGACCTGCACTCTGATGCCACTGGTTCAGTGAGTGTGCCGCTTTGTGTCATGAGTTTTATTTAGAAATTCTACAAAACTAATAGTCTGGCTTCTTTCTGGAAGGAATCTGAAAGGGGCTTGGTATGGTAGTTGGTGTTGACAGTGTTTTTAAATTAACTGAAGCACCAGTTGTGTCACCTGCCCACTGTGTCACCACCACCATAATTTTCATAAATGAAAAATCCCAGATACACTTTCTATCACAGATCAGCAGCAAGGGTCATATTTAATTGATCAGTAAAAGACGGGCAATTTTCAGACAGGGCGCAGGAGTCTGAAGACTTGCCACACTATCAACATAGTTATAATCAACAAGGTCATATTTGTATCTGCTTAAATCTAATTAGAATAGCTTGTGTTTCTTGTGTTGCTTTGACCAGTGTATTTTCTTGTCAGATACAGAATTTTGCACATAATATTTGTATTTTTATCTGGCAAGTACCCTAGTATGTACACTCAAGCTAAATAATTGAGTGCCACAGACCAAAATAATAAAAAATATGAATTTGATTTTATAAGGGTATAATGATAATATAGGGGGAGCTGGTCATGTTACTCTTTTGTTGTTGTTGATGCAAGCAATTGACACCAATTTATTTTTTACAATGTCATTAATTTGAAAGTGAAAGGAAACAGCGCACAGAATTTATACAATATTTAAAAGCACCCAGTCCCCGGTGATGATGCTTTTATGGATGTGATCATCGCGTGCCGGATAATAATTGTGAAAAATATGTCATATTCACAACCCTAATGGAAAAGAAACTCTTTGTTTCATGAAAGAGTCAAAAAGCATTGTGATCTTTAAATGCTTAACACATTGTTATAATGATTGGTAGGGTTCTATACTATCTATGTAGATTTTGTTTTAAATATTATATAATAAAAAGTTGATTTAGTGACAAAATCCAAAATATAATGAAAAATAATAATACAAATTATATCAAAATACTATTGAAGTTTAAGTCTAGTGTATCGGAATTTTCTGGACTATTGTCATCTTTACTGTCATTCACCCTGGATGTCCAGTTATTTAATCTGACTTGAATTAGTTTGGACCAAGCAACATTAAATGTGTTCTTGTTTTGTGCAGTTACATTAGAAGTGTAACAGCAAAAATGTAGGATCTGAAAAAGCAGTATGAGTTTGTATGTTTCACGTTGATAATTTGGAACACTTTGAGATTGTTCTTGCTTATTTCAACATCTCTTCTTAACTAACAAATGCAATACTTTGAAAAACAAATAATTACATTGTGACATAAAGATCAAAATATAGGGTTTACTAGTACAATGTGTCATTTTAGTAAACTGAAACATTAGAGCTATCGGTTTATTAGTATATCATGCTCTTTACCAGTAGCCAGTCTAGACACATTAAGATGATGGCTGCAGAAGCTGGTTAAAAAAATTAGAGACAACTCATTTGCCAAGTTTTATTAACTGTTGTCTGGCAAATTCAGTTTCCTGCTGGTATGTAAAGCTGTTTCAATTCTGGTGTTTCAGAGTTGGATTACAGATAAACAGATAAAGCATTCAGACATTTATCAGTTCACAGATTCTCTTTATGTTGTTTAGAAGTGCCAGAGGCCTTTGCACCAGCTCTCTCCTCCACTGACTCTGTGACTTCTCTGTTCTCCAGCCCAATGATCCAGTCACTAACATCTGCCAGGCTGCTGACAAACAGCTGTTCACTCTGGTGGAGTGGGCCAAGAGAGTCCCTCACTTCTCTGAGCTGCCGCTGGATGACCAAGTCATTCTGCTCAGAGCCGGTATGACTGTCTGACTTTTTCATTCACATTTTGCTGTAGTCTCATCAGTTCTCCCTGCATTCGCATGGGTTTCCTCCGGGTGCTCCGGTTTCTCATTCATTCATTCATTCATTTTCTTGTCAGCTTAGTCCCTTTATTAATCTGGGGTCGCCACAGGGGAATGAACCGCCAACTTATCCAGCAAGTTTTTACGCAGCGGCTGCCCTTCCAGCCGCAACCTATCTCTGGGAAATATCCACACTCATACACTATGGACAATTTAGCCTACCCAATTCACCTGTACCGCATGTCTTTGGACTGTGGGGGAAACCGGAGCACCCGGAGGAAACCCACGCGAAGGCAGGGAGAACATGCAAACTCCACACAGAAACGCCAACTGAGCCGAGGTTCGAACCAGCAACCTAGCCACCTTCTTGCTGTGAGGCGACAGCACTACCTACTGCGCCACTGCCTCGCCCTGCTCCGGTTTCTCCAGTAGGCTAAATTGTCTGTAGTGTATGAGTGTAAATAAGTGTGTGCGGATGTTTCCCAGGGATGGGTTTAGGCTGGAAGGGCATCCGCTGCATAAAAACGTTCTGAATAAGTTGGCGGTTCATTCTGCTGTGGCGACCCTAGATTAATAAAGGGAGTAAGCCGAAAAGAAAATGAATGAAGATTAAGTTTTAGTGTCCTATAAGTAATAATTAAACAGCTATTTATAATTTAATAGCTAGTGATTTAACAATTAATTTAAAAGATTTTTTGGAGAAATCTATTAGGGTGTACTCATTGATGATGAGCACTGTATACTTGAAAAATTAGGCTGAAATAATACTTTGAAAGATAGTAGTGAATAGAGCTGCACAATTTAGAGAAAAAATAGAATTGCTATATATCTAATCAAAATTGCGATTTACTATCGATTTACTATTTACTTTCATAAAAGAGCGCATTGACAGTGCAGTGACAATGCTTTCCATACACAATTTAGGCTTTTACTTCACAGCACAAGAATTCTTGTATTAAAATGTAGAATTTATAAAAATGTATTAAAATGTATAAATATGTAATATTTTTATTATGTATTAAAATGTAGAATTTATAAATGTATTTATATATATAACATGTAATACAATCTTGTAATTTAATACAAGCAGTTAAATATATGAACTGTACCTTTAATTTTACAGATGTAATAAAACACTTTTTTAATGTATCAGACAAAACTTCAGTACATGCACAGAACAACATGTGCATTTATAGCAAATGAATAAATGTAAATAACATCCTAATTGCCTTTTGAGCTTTGTCAAGCAAGTTTTTAAACACCTGTGATTGATCGATCGGTCAGTCAATCGGTGTGTTCTGCTGTAACAGTTGTCTGCTTTGAAAGTAACGTTAGTTGGATTGTTTTAAGTACTCATGCTCACCTCCCTCGCCATAGTAATAATGGAAATAATGGCAGCTTTTGCGATATAAAAATCGCACCTTTTCAAATCACGATTTCAGTTTAAAGTCGGTTAATCGTGCAGGCCTAGTAGTGAATTATCAAACAGGATGTAAGAATTTTGGGGCTGAATTGTTCTTCATTTGTTTTATGCCATTAAATAAGTCCTGTTCTAAATATGCTTGGTTATTATTTTGACCTTTTTGGTTTACAAAAAACAAACAAACATATAAATATATATTTATATATACATATGTCCTTACAACAAAATTATACTGATATTAGTCAGCAAACAATTCAGTACTTTTAAGTATTTGAACTTGTTAGTTGTCATACATGTAGCCTGACATGATGTTAAAACATCCACAAACCAACCATGTGTGACATGGTTTTTCTTCCAGGGTGGAACGAGCTGTTGATTGCTGCCTTCTCTCATCGCTCCATCAGTGTGAAGGATGAGATTCTGTTGGCCACAGGTCTCCATGTGCCCAAAGAGAGCACTCACAACTTGGGCGTGGAGGCCTTTTTTGACAGGTCACACTGAAGTCTTTGATTCCAAATGTTGCACAATAGAGTAATTTTAGTGGCTTAACATGTTTGTTTTGTCTGTACAGGGAGAGTTCACACAGTGCAGAGGTGGGAGCCTTATTCGACAGGTAATGCATACGATCACATCTTTGTTTTTGCTTTTGGAATTGTGACTATTCCAGTAGTTCTGATGCTAGGGTGATTTAGCCCTCATGGAGTCCTCAATAAGTTTATATCATATGCGCAGGGTTCTTACTGAGCTGGTCTGCAAGATGCGTGACATGCAAATGGACAAAACTGAACTTGGCTGTCTGCGTGCCATAGTTCTGTTTAACCCAGGTAAGCATTTATTTTAGCTTTATTTAGAAATGGTTCATTTTAAGAAATATAAAATTGTCAGTAGTACTACTGCAGATCAAATATTTCTGTTTCTGATTGAATGCTTTTTGAAGATTTGGAAAGGCTATTATTTAATTCATCTTTTTGTTATTATGAACCTGTTGTACAGTTTTTGTTTCTTTTTACACAACACAAAGAATAAATTTGTGTATTTGAATTGGCAGTTTAATAAAAGCCCCAAATATGACTCCGTATCACTGTACATAAAAAAAACAAACAAGCAAACAAACAAAAACGATCCTCTAGACATATTTAATTTTTAGACAAAATGTACTTTTGAAAACCTAAAAAAGGTGTAATATTTTATCATTGCCTTACCTTGTTAATTGTTATCAGATCATAAAGAATTTAAAGTGTTAGTTTATCCAAAAATGAAAAGTCTGTTATTAACTAATCACTCTCATGTTGTTCCCAAGAGCTTTCTGTTCCTCCATAGACCAAAACTTTCCAAAGTCCAGAAAAGGAACCAAAAACAGTCAAGACATTCCATGTGACTTCCGTGGTTCAACTGTAATCTTACAAAACTCAGAGAACACTTTAGTGTGCACAAATAAAAAAATAAAATGGACAAGGAAGATATGAACAAAGTAGCTTCATATGATAACAGTTTAACCTCACATGGAATGTTTTGACAATCTTTTTGGTTTTATATTTGTTGTAAGATGAATGAAGGTCACAAGGTATAGTAACGACATGAGGGTAAGTAATTAATGACATAATATTAGGGCTGCACGATTAATCTTATTGCTATCACCATAACGATATTTGTGGCCCACGATCAATAAATTAATATCGTCACGATTTTACAGTATAAAGACCAAGCCGTTATTTTAATGGATGGAGTTTTTGGATTGTACCTCATCACAAGCATGAGGTGACTGCGTCTAGCTTGCAAGTGTTTCTTTCAAGGAATGCAATGTTGATCAGGTAGCTTAGTCTAAAGTCTCCAAGGTACACGATAAACCTTTATTAAGTACATTAAAAGCCATCACAAAGTGGCTTTTATTAGTGAACTAATTAAGGTACCTGCAGAGTCTTAAAAAGTCTAAAATTTAAAAATCAAAATTTAAGGTCTTTAAAAGTCTTAAATTTGCTGTTCTAGGTCTTAAATATTTTGCACAGGTCTTATTTTTGCAATGTCCATGTAACGCTACATCTAATGCTAATTTTAATTATTTTTTGTTGTTGTTGCTAGGTTTTTTGGGTGTTGTAGTTGTTTATTTCACTAGTCAAATTGTAATTTGCGGTTACAACTACAAAAAGGTCAACTTGCAATAGCCAATCAGCTTTCTGTTATAAAGTGTGCATGGCGAATGTGATGTCATCGCTGTGATTGCGGAAGTTGATTTCGGCTGGCAGAGTATGCTGTTATTTCACCGAAAAATGACGTAGGCACAGTTTTGTAAGTCGGGAGCGCTGTAATACGCAGGGGTGATAGCGTTCCGGCACCACGCCGGATTTCCGGCGTACTGTGGCTGCGGGGAAAAAAAAAATCAGGTTCACGGATATTGCAATCTGTCATTTCTCTAGATTCACAGAATTCACTCACTGCTGAAAGCGCCGGATTGGTTTTTATTAAGTGCCATTTTGTGTGCTCGTGAATCATCTTTTGAGTGTAGACGCCATGTAAATAAAAGATTAATTGTGTAATTTAGAGAGCTTTATAAATTATAACGGATCTTTGTGAGATAACTAAGATTAGTGACGCTTTTTAGTGATAATAAGAGGAGCGTGCTTTGCACTTTCCAGGCTATAATCCATTCAGAATTTGTATGAAACTTTCGTTTTCGGCACATATACGCTGATATGTTTTGGGAATGACATCTGCATATTTACGCTGGGTTTATTCTCGAAAAAACGGTGAAGCAATAGACGGGACAAAAATATATTTCCCCCTTCTCCTTAAACAACTTGTTTCAGCTATGAAATAGTTCAGTTTTGTATGTAGCCTAATGGCAAAGTGTTTATATTTAGTTTCGTTTTTTATTCAGCTTATTTAGAAAAACGTTTGGAGCATTTTTTATTCGTTAAAAATAAGTTTTTTTTAACGAACAGCGCCCAGCGGAAGACCATCATTGTCTGTTTGATCAGTTTGCCTTCTCAGATCATCACAACTTGCCTAAAATAAAAGATATAAAACAGTTCAAGTATAAAACAATGGTAGCTTAAACGTTAAAGAATGTGTGCTATTAGGCGCATAGTTTGCTTATAAAAAGCTTGCGGGACATCGAGGCGCCAGAGCAATCACTTGCATTTTTTCAGTGGGAGCAATTTAAAGTTATCCGTCATTTTTGCTCACAAAGTACGAGTAATACATCAAAAAACGTTACAGCGTTTTTATAAAATAAAGAAAACCAAAATTATGCGCTTTCTGTCGTCTGGTTTTTGAACAGGAGCGCTTAACAAAATGAAGCAAAATGTATATGCCTCACAGACATAATAAATATATTTATAGAAAGCTTTAAATTATTACTTAACGAAATAAAACAAATCGAAAACAAAAAAACTCCTTCATGTAATCCGTAAAGATGAATTTCTAAAGGCGAGTCCAAGAGGTGATTGCCAGTCAGGATCTTTGCGACACTGACTCAGAATATGTTTATTAATAAATAATTAAGATATGTCCTTACTCTTTCCTCGACACATTCATTGTTATTTGTTTTTGCCGGTGTTTGGGGCGAGTTTTAGCTTATGTGCGCTTGAACGCGGATTCACAGTAGCAGTTTTAACATGGAGTGACATGACATCTGACGTACAGATGACACTGGCACATGCCACTGAGTGTAGTGACACTTCCGGTGGCACGTCCGGATTTCCACTGTCATGTGTCACTCGCTAGTGGCATGTGTAGTGACCTGTGTCACTCAGAGTGTCGCGCTGCATGTCACTGCAGTGACATCGACACCCGGCGAAGCTTATGACATTAATTAACACGAGCAAAACCATATTTAATCATTACGCGACTTTTAACCTAATTTATCGCGTCGCAAGTTAGTTTATTTGCTGAGCTACTCCACGATGTTTTAATTTAAACGCATTTATTTTATGTATTCGTAGTCATACTTCCGTACGTAATATAGTCATTTGACAGTACATGTCAGTCAAATTTATTGTGGCATGCTTATGTATGGGAGGGGTTACACTTATCTGTTGTACTGTATATTATTGCATCCTGGCAGTTCCTTTGTTCCCTACAATACGGACTTCACTTCATTCATTCATTCATTCATACGGACACAAATTCATTCATTTATTTTATTATTTAACTTATTTTCATTTTAAGGTATTTTAAATAATATCCTTTAAACAGTTATAATAAAATGCATGTTGAAAACTCATAACATATATGCATGTAAGATAACAAGTGTCATTTGCCTAATGATTTTTAAATATTAAAGCAAAGAGACTTAAAGATTAATGTGCTTATAACGTGCTTATACTGACACCTACTGGCACATGTCACAAGATCACTGACACTGGCATGTGTCACTGACATTACTGGCATGTGACTAAAAAGAGCCACTTGACAATAATGATGATCAGGGTTACACATAGGCTGTTAATATATTTGGGCCCAGGGGCCCACAAGTTATGTGTTAAAAGAGCGTTGCATACATAGTACCCCCACCCCTACTCACCTCAGGGGCAAGGAAAAAAAGTTCAGGCTCAGGAATTTTTTCCACTATCAGCCCTGAATACGAGAGAGCGAATCTCTGCTCACACACCGATTTCCTCTGTTCGTGGACAAAACTGCTCGTGAGCTCCACAACACTGACTGCTCACGTGCGAATGATCTGCTCTCGCTCCGTCGGACTCCTTTCATGCTTATGCTCTCCAGAGATGCTTCAGCATATTGTAGTATTAAGAATAGTGAACTGATAAAATGAAAAACAGTGTAGTTTTACTACAGTAAAGTGTGGTGAATTGTAGTATAATATACCCTATATTGTAAAAAAAAAAAAAAAAAAAAAAAAACTAAAGCACCGGGTAGTTTGTTTTATATTACACTTCTTGTGGTATTTTAGCAACTATAGTATTACCACAACATATTAATTGAAGTACTTTACTGTACTTTACAAAGCACTGTACAGCAGACACTAGTTCACTTTTAGTTGCCATGATAAAATGAGATTGATAGTGAGATTTATTTGAAGAGAATAGTACAGTAGGCTATAATACTTTATTAATGTGAGTCATGGGATGGCAAGATGGCGACAGTCATTTGTACCTGTGAAACGCTGCGGGAGATAAATATCAAATATCTGGGGTTTCAGACGTCTGCAGGTCTGTTTTTTACCAGTTTGACTGCAACCATAGTGTTGCTACTGTTTCACGTGCAACTGCGCCGTATAATATGGGACAACTATTATGTTTGGACAACAAAAATAACTCCAAAGACCATAGTGCTACCTATGCATGGCGAAAAACACCTATACCTGAGCTGGCTTTTTTGTTTTGTTGCCGCTGTCGCCTACCTGCGTGGAATCCCTATATTGCACAATGGTGTTCAAGTCCCAACTAATGTGTCTTGCCTCGAGAGAGCAGCTGAGCCGGGTTACCTGGATCGGAGGTATGGCAGGGGCGTTGGAACAGTATCCTGGCAGATTATCATTCCAGCGCGTGAAGTACGGCCGTCTCGTCAGTTGTGCGGGACTGAGTCGAGTATACCCTGCATTACTATAACTGTGCCCCTGTCGGGAGACTCGGTGAAGGCGGCGATAGTTTCAGATGCATCGAGTGAAATAGCGTTACCCCCGAATCTGCGAGGGGTTGCTGTACCCGGTCTCGGAGAGCGAGCCTGCTTTTCCCGACAACCGGGATGTCTATTTTTCCATATATGGCTTAAGGATTTCCGGAGCGTGTCGTCCCGTCCAGTTTACATTCTGCACGATCGGGTAGTCATTTCAGCTCATGCTGTCGTCTTTCACCGGTGGGTTAATGACATTCATATTAAAGCATCTTGTTCAAAAGACACGACTAGTCGACGCCAATTTTCACGGCTTTTATTGATTGTGCTTTTATTAATTGGAAATATTGAACTGAATCCTGGTCCTGACAAAACTGTTTTTATGTCTACCTTTTTATATTATCTGGGTTTTTATTCCTATGTTTTAAATAATATGCTGAGCCTGGGTCCAGACACAAATGTGATAAATGCGGACTTGTCACAACCTTTAGGCATTCAACAGTCTTCATTACATTTTTCTGAGGCTCTTCCTGCTCCTGTCATTTCAGGTTCAAATTATAAACATGTCAAAGTTCATAAAAAATCAAAGACAAATCCTGTCACACTGAGTCAGCTTGGTAAATTTAGAGGTTTCAAAATTTGTCATTTAAATATGAGGAGTCTTGTTCCCAAACTGGATGAATTCAAAATCATAATTGCTAAAACTAAAGCTCATGTTATGGCTATATCTGAATCATGGCTAACCTCTGATATACCAGACTCATTTCTTTCAATAGAAAACTATTCATTGTACCGTAGAGATCGGACCGAGAAAATGGGTGGTGGAGTTGCAGTTTATGTAAACAAAAAATATTCTCATTCAATTTCAAAAATCTCAACTGACTCAGAATCGTTACAATTAGTTGTCAATCTATCAAACCAGCTTTCAGTTACTATTATTGTCACTTACAAGCCCCCAAATGTCAGTGCGGCTACATACTTAATGCAGCTTGCTGACATGATAAAATGTGTTAAAAATAAGGAGCTTGTAATTCTAGGTGACATTAATATGAACTGGATTGACAACTCATCCAAATCTTTGAAAGCCTTAGCTATAAAATTGGGCTTACATCAATTAATTAAGGCTCCAACTAGATTTGGTAAAACCCGTAATTCTATTTTGGATCTTATATTTACAAACCAGCCAACTAAGTATGGTATATCTGGAGTAATTCACACCTCTGTTTCCGACCATTCACTCATATATGTCATAAGGAAAACTTTTAAACACCCAAGAACCCATGAAAACAATTATACATCAAAAATACCAAACTCCAAATTACCTCAGTTTAATGCTGAATTTGGAGATACTGATTGGAGTAATGAGATGTTATTGTCAAATCCTGACTACATCCTGGCAAATTTTTATAGCAAAGTGGAGGAAATACGGCAAAAGTATACAACTACTTGCAAAATGTATGTCAGACACAACAAAGTACCTTGGGTAAATTCTGAAATTTTACAACTTTTAAAGAAAAAAGCATCCTCTCTGAAGGCATACAGATTTTCTAAAACACATGAAAATAGGCTTATTTTTAGTCAATACAGAAATAAATGTTACTCTGAATTGCGTAAAGCTAAACAACTCTATTTTCAAAATCAAATTAATCAAGCTGCTACCAACCCAAGAGTATTATGGCAAACTATTAAATCTATAACTGGTGAAAATAGTTTTAAAAATAACAATAACTTACAAATATCTATAAATGGTACTCTTCTCACTGATCATGAAAAAATTGCTAACTCATTCAATGAGTATTTTATTTCATCTGTACAAGAGCTGTCTTCTAAATTTTTAGCTTCTCCGGTGCTTTAAGTACCACCAAATACATGTCAACAGTTTTCTTTTTCTGAGATCTCACAAAGTGAGTTATCTGATATTTTGAACTCTTTTAGAATTTCTCATGCCTGTGATGTAAACAACTTAAACATGCATTTTATGAAAACTCATGCTAGTACTCTTATACCACTTTTCCATCATTTAGTTAATTTGTGTATTAGGCTCCATAAATTCCCTGACACCTGGAAAACTGCTCAGATTATTCCAATATTCAAATCTGAGGACCCAACTAGTGTCTCTAATTACCGGCCAATCTCAATTCTCCCTACATTTTCTAAGTTACTTGAAAAGGCATTGTATAATCAGTTAATTGTTTATCTTGAAGACAATAAGTTGCTTAGTGATAGCCAGCATGGCTTTAGACCATTGCGCTCAACCATGTCAGCATTGCTTTTATTTACTGAACATATACGTAAGGCACTAAATAAAGGACATGTCACTGGAGCTGTATACATAGACTTTAGAAAGGCCTTTGATACAGTTAATCATAATATTCTTTTAAACAAATTGATCTCATTTAATCTCTCTTCTTTTGCAATAGATATGTTTTCATCATATTTATCCAATAGATCTCAGGTTGTTAAAATTGGTACAACAATTTCTCAGGCATTAAGTTGTTCTATGGGGGTTCCTCAGGGAAGTATTTTGGGACCTTTACTTTTCCTGATGTATATCAATGACCTCCCTCAGGTAATTAAACATTCAGATTCTTTATTGTATGCAGATGACACTGTACTTTTTGTGTCTGGATCGAGTACAGACACAATTAACAATAAATTAAATACAGATCTTCAGCATTTACATGAGTGGCTGCAAGACAATCATTTGACTATTAATGTTAAGAAAACAGAGTGTATGTACTTTTATTCACCTAGGAAAAAATTATCCATATCCCATCCCCTCACTTTCTCAAATCAAAAACTTTCCATTGTATCCACATATCAATATTTGGGAATCAGTCTGGACTCTCACCTCACTTATTGTAACCATGTTCAAAATGTTTATAAAAAGCTGAAACAAAAGCTATTTGTTTATGGCAAAATTAGGACAAATTTGTCTTTTTTTGTTTCAGAAACTTATCTGCATGCCATAATCTTGTCTACCTTGTCTTACTGTCTGCCTATTTGGTCTCTCACAACAAATTACATCTTGGAGCCAATAGCTAGACTATACAATAGGGCCTATAAGATACACAACAGACTTTCTGGATGGACACATCACTGTTTTGCTCTATCACTTTCTAAAGCTTTAACATTTCAAAACTACATTATGAACACAGGTATCAAACTTTACTATCAAATTTTAAATAGCTCTACCTCAGCAGCCCTTTGTGCATTGGTACCTAAACTCAACACAAGGACTGATCGTTCCACCAGATCTGTAACAAATGGATGTTTGCCAGTACCGGCTTTTAAAAACTGTTATGGACAGAGATCTTTCTTTTATGTATTCACAAGAGTCTGGAATGAGATCCCACAACATCTCAAAACAATACCAACACTGAGACTTTTTAAGAAATCCCATGCTCGTCATCTGATGGTCAACTATCGCTGTAGCCACTGAGATAGTAGCCTGCTTTTTTTCTTTATCTTAAATGTTTGGTGATTGTTTGTACTGTGTTGATGGATGAGATGTTTGTCTGTTTTTATGTTCTGCAGAGCAGGAACCTGCTGAAAAACAGCATTCATGCTGAGTCAGGCCTGATTATCTTTTAATCTTTTCCTGTTTAAAAATTAAAAATAAAAAATAAATAAATAAATAATTAAGTTCCCTATTTTCTATCACACTTACATTTCTGCTTACTTTAGTTATATTTACTTTTTTTTTTTTAGAATGGTGTACCTTATGAATGTTTAATATATGTTTTAAAAATAAAACTATTCTCTGTATCTTTTAGTGTTTGAAACTGGAAATTTCTCATCACGTAACATACTGGTTATTGATAATAAATAGTGCACTAATATAAGTCAGATCAAAAAACATAAAAGGAAGATTGAACAGTGTACTGAGAGTGCGCAAAAAAAATTGTGCATGAGCAGTGCATATTTGAGAGTGAGAAAATTTTAGCAATTTTGTCCACAAACAGGACATCGATGCAAGAGCAAATAGATACACTCGCTCGTATTACATGAATGCGCTTGACTTGTAATACTGGCTCATGACATTTGTCAGTGAAATAACGCCATAGCAGAGCTAAAGAAGTTTTTTGAGACTCGGGTGAACAGTTCGTGCGGCGCCCCATTTGATTTGGGTTGAGTATGAAACACTTTAAAGAGATTTTGTCTGAAACAGGTACCTCTGTACCGACGTCTTTATGATCCGTCCATGCGTGATCATAGGGAGAACCAGATGACCAATAATTCTTGGCTAGAAATTGCAACAGCCATGGGATAGGAGGAAAGTTTTTGTAAAAGTTTGGAAAAACCTGAGGTATAAGTTTGTTAAAAAAAAGATGCACCCAAAAACATCTTCAATGATAATGATTTTCTTTTTATCCATCTTATTTTACTGTCTGTTTCTTTTGACCACCCCTGTCATTTAAAAGAATATCTCAATGGTGAACGCGTCAAGTATGTGGAGCCAGGTGAAAGCATAAATCAGCATTAAGACGTTTGTTTTTTCTATAGTTCAATAGTGCATTTAACCTGTCTTAGTACTGTTCAATTTAAATAACTTTTTACCACTAATTTTGCGATTTTACATTTTCTCTCATGTGTTTTTGATATTGTTATGTAGGTCTCAAATTTAATACTTAATGGTCTTAAAAAGGTCGTAAAAAGTCTTCATGTTATCTGCAGATTCCCATGTTAATGAGCTCAGTTCAGTTTTGCTTTGAGTTTTTCTATGCATTACTAACATTACTAAACCAGATAACATTTTTTTAAAGCTAACCAAATACTCTCTGAGATTCTGCAGTTTTTTTTTCATGAAATTTTTTGCATCAGAAATTGGTAAAAACAAATAAAAATTTAAATTATATAACAAGTATCAGATTCTAAGTATCTAATGTGTATATATATATATATATATATATATATATATATATATATATATATATATACACACACACACACACAAACAAAGGATTAATTGTCATTATTAATCGTGATTAACAGTTTGAGCAAAATAATCATGATTATAATTTTTTTCTGTTATCGTGCAGCCCTACCTAATATTCATTTTGGGGTGAACTACTCCTTTTAGGAAAATAATAGACATAAATACACCTTCATGGGCATCAAAACAGAAGGACATCCCAAAGAATGCTTACATGTTTGTGCTGAATGTTTCCAATATGTTTTAGATGCCAAAGGTCTGACAAGCAGCAGTGAAGTGGAGCTCCTCAGAGAGAAAGTGTATGCGTCCCTGGAGTCCTATTGCAAGCAGAAGTATCCAGATCAGCAAGGGAGGTTAGTGCACTGTACTTGTATACAACACTGAATTGAATAGTTTGTGTTGTGTTAAAATGTTTAATTTACCAAGCAAATACAATCCTGTTTTAACATGCAGTTCAATCATTATTTAAGAATGTGGGTGGGTCTTTAAAACCATCAACCGTCTTTGCCCACTGCTCCGCTCTTCGCTCCGTCTTTGCCCACTGCTCCGCTCTTCGCACTCTTACTTTTATATCTTATACCCTAATTTTAACTTGAGCCTATCAGCACAGTGCTCAAACAACACGGCTTGAAGTTCAGCATTGATTCTACAAACTTTCTGGAATATAGCTTTACTAACAAGAGGGAAATTATCGTCTAAACAATCCTCCCGCTACGAGCTACCAGCTGCTTACATTACGGAGACAGGAAACCACGGCTGTAAAAATGCCTCTGGATCGGATTAATTCAGATTCTCACTGCTGTACAAACTGCCACAAACTTCTACAAAAAATTGCAGTTCTTGAAACGAAGTTGCTTGCGATCCGACCAGAACTTCAGCTTCATTGTGGATTTTCTCAGCACACAGCTGGTGAGTCCCATAAATCTGTTCCTGCTACTGTTTTGAGCACAGAAAAACAAAAAAAAACTGTTGAAAATGAGCATTGGCATAAACAAGGTGCGAGACCAAAGGGTACTCGAGGGGTCAGATCATACGCTGCCGCATTAGCATCTTCTACCCCAAATACAGCTCGGACTCAAATACAGCTTCAGAACAGATATGAAGTTTTGAGTAATATGGGTGAAGAATCCCCAAATGCAGTCAGACAGAGATCGCATGATTCAGCAACTAATTCTGCATAAAAAAAAACAGAGGCTCAAGGCCGAATAGACAGCGGCATTGTGCTCCGATCACACCTGAGATAAGAACACTAGTCGTAGGAGATATAATATCAAGAATTTCAGGAGCAAATCTACTATGACATACTGCTTTCCTCATGCAACAGTTTCTGATGTAAACAAAGAACTTGAGGAAATTCTGAAAAAGCACAGTACTGCAAAACGGATTATCATCCATGTGGGGAAGAATGATATTTGGAAGGAACAGTCAGAACTGCTCAAGAAAGATTTCTGTGAGCTCTTGGAAACAGTTGAAAGATTGAAGGTTCAGCCATTCATAAGTGGACCACTCCCTGCAAGAGGGACAAATATGTTTTCACGGCTTCTTGGTCTAAATGTATGGCTACAGAAAACATGTAACAAGAAAGGACTGAATTTCATCGACAACTTCAATCTCTTCTGGAACCAAAGACAGCTGTTTACATCAGACGGCCTTCATCCAAACAAACTTTGTGCAAAAGTGCTAAAGGACAATATTTTTTTCTCCCTCAATCATCCATCAGCTGTGTATGCCACTGAACTAAATTGCAAACACACACCTAGCAAATGTCCAGATGACCACAGGACCTCAAATCAGCTCCTGAGTGGACTTGTGGCTGACGAATCAACCAAGGACAGTAATAATGCCACGCGGCCAAAACACCCAATGTTGATAGAGACACTATCAGTTGCCCTCTGCTCAACACAGGCAGACTGTGACGCATCAGAACAGCATCAAGTCTCGTCACTCAAAAATGATCCTCAGGAAAACATATTTCTGCAGACAGAATCTCCAGATGCACAGCCTCTGTCACCGGACACGTTCTCATTGTCACAATGTTCACCACTCTTGGGTTTTTCAAAAAAGATGGAGGAACTAGTGTATGCTGGAACTAAACTTTCACACTCCATTGCCGCAAGCCCCCAGTTACCAACCAAAAAGCGGCCTGCTTCACAACCACAGCCCACCTGGAAGAGCCCTCCGATTTTTGCCACACCGCCAGGGCCCAAACAACAACGCCCCATCTTCAGCTGGTGAACACAAGAGCTCTCTGTGATGTGTGTCGGGGACCTGCTTAGATAACAGTGTCTTTATCAAATGTTTTCAGAACAAGCAGGAACCCAGTGTGTCTGTAGCTTTCTTTAAGCAGATATGTTGTGTTAAGTGACAAAAAACCAAAGACTTCATCAGGCCGTATAGCAAATCATTCAAATCTGGTGTCTATTAAATGTAGATCTGAGACTACTATAGAAAAAACAGCTAAAACTGTTAAGTTAGCGCTTTTAAACATCAGATCACTCAACAATAAGTCTCTTTTAGTCAATGATTTTATCAACACAAATTGCCTTGATTTTATGCTTTTAAATGAAACTTGGCTAGATGACAGTTGTAGCGCAGCAGTTCTGAATGAAGCAGCTCCTTTAAACTTTGACTTTTTGAGTGTTTGCAGAGTTAATAGGAGAGGTGGAGGCATCGCTGCCCTGTTTAAAGATGTGTATGAATGTAAACAAATGTCATTTGGTGACTATTTGTCTTTTGAATATCTGAGTATAGCACTAAAAGGTGCTCCACGCATCTTACTGATCATTATCTACAGACCTCCAAAATATTCTCCAGCTTTTATTGAGGATTTTACAGAGCTGTTATCAATTGTAACCTCTGAATTTGATTATTTTAGTATTGCTGGGGATTTTAATATTCACATTGATAATCCAGAAATCAATGCTGTAAAAGAACTGATGACTGTTTTTTACACTTTTGATCTGACTCAGCATGTTCAAGGACCCACACACAATCGTGGACACACCCTTGATCTACTTATAACTAAGGGTTTACACATTTCATCGACTGTTGTTAAAGATGTGGCACTATCTGATCATTTCTTTATTTCTTTAATATATTGATTACTCCAGCTATTTAAGACAGATCTGTCTCTGTCAGAAAGAGTTGCATAAATGAGAACACTAGTGAGCAGTTTATGAAGGCCATATCGCTAGCACCAAGCATATCTGCAGACTCTGTTGATTCTCTCCTTGATTTGTTTAATTCTAAAATTGAGAATGTCATAAATGACATCGCTCCTGTTAAACTCAAGAAGATGACTTGCAGGCAAAAGGGATCTTGGACAAGGTCATCTAGAGTACAAATGATGAAAAGACAGTGCAGAAAAGCTGAGCGTATGTGGAGAAAGACGAAACTAGTAGTCCATTATAATATCTATAAAGACAGTCTTCATGCCTTTAATATGGAACTAAACACTGCTAGACAGACTTTCTTTTCAAGCCTTATAAACAGCAACTTAAATAATGCTCATACACTCTTTGCAACGATAGAGACTCACAAACCCCCCAAGTCGGATTCCAAGTGAGCTCCTCTCTGAAAGCAAATGTAATGAGTTTGCTCATTTCTTCACTGATAAGATCAATAATATCAGAAAGGCAATCAGCTCATCCAATCAGTCAAGTTGTGTCGATATCAAACAAGCTTAAGCACAACTTAAGAAATCAGACATTATGTCTGATTTCATGGCAATTAACGGTAAAATCTTAGAAGAGATTGTGCAAGTTATGAAAACATCAACCTGCAGTCTTGACACACTCCCTACATCATTCTTCAAAATGGTATTTACCTGTTTAGAAATGGATCTTCAAAAAGTGGTAAATGCTTCTTCTTTCAGGGATTTTTCCAAACTCACTTAAAACTGCAGTTGTTAAACCCCTCTTGAAGAAGAGCAACCTGGATAACACCCTATTGAGCAATTACTGGCCATTCTCAAATCTCCCTTTCATTGGCAAAATCATTGAAAAAGTTGTTTTTAACCAGGTTAACAAGTTCTTATACTTAAAGGGGTGTTTAGACAAATTTCAATCTGGTTTCAGAGCACATCACAGTACAGAGAGCACTCTTATAAAGATAATCAATGATATACGCCTAAATACAGATTCAGGTAAAATAACAGTGCTGGTATTGTTGGATCTCAGTGCTGCATTTGACACTGTCGATCACAGCATACTTCTGGATAGGCTGGAAAACTGGGTTGGGCTATCTGGCACGGTCCTCAAATGGTTTAGATCTTACCTTAAAGATAGAGGTTACCATGTCAGTATAGGTGACCATAGGTCGAGGTGGACACCCATGACGTGTGTAGTCCCACGAGGCTCAATTCTGTCACCTCTCCTGTTCAACCTTTACATGCTCCCTCTAAGCCAAATAATGAGAAAGAACCATATCTCCTACCACAGCTATGCTGATGACACTCAGATCTACCTAGCCTTACTGCCTAATGACTACAGCCCCATTGACACCCTCTGCCAATGCATTGATGAAATGAGCATTTGGATGTGCCAAAACTTTCTTCAGTTAAACAAAGAGAAAACTGAAATGATTGTGTTTGGGAACAGAGATGAGGTTCTCAAGGTAAATGCGTACCTTGGCACTAAAGGTCAAACAACAAAAAATAAGGTCAAGAATCTTGGTGTGACTCTGGAGTCAGATCTGAGTTTCAATAGTCATCTCAAAGCAGTCAGTAAATCAGCATACTATCATCTCAAAAACATAGCAAGAATCAGATGCTTTGTTTCTAGTGAAGATTTAGAAAAACTTGTTCATGCTTTTATCAGCAGCAGGGTGAATAACTGTAATGGACTCCTCATCTGTTTAGCTGTGCCTTTACTGAATGAGCACTGTGCTGCGTCCGACAGATTGCACTATCATGTTTTTCTCTTCTTCTTCATTCTTTTATATCACATTTTACCTGTTTTTATGTTTTGTTTTGTTTTGTTTTTACGCATTTTTATTATTTGTTTTTATTTTTAGTTTACTTGTTTCTTTTATTCTTGTTTATGTAAAGCACTTTGAATTGCCACTGTGTATGAAATGTGCTATATAAATAAACTTGCCTTGCCTTGCCATCATACCTAACTAACCAATAATAACCCATAGTGGGAATTTAGTTTTTTTTTTTTTTAGATATAAGTTTTAGTGTTTAATTTTAAAGATAATTAGTGTGCTCTTATAAACATCTGAAGCTTGCAGTTTGTCACTTCTGCCTAAATGGATCAATGTTTTTGTTACCTCATACTTCAGTTTCTTATTAAATGCTCTTTATTATCTGACAGGTCATGCCCTCTTTGAGACTCTTCTCGTTTGATTTTTGTTTGATGTGCTTGAGCTCACTGGTAGAGCTGTAATTTGTTCTGTTTAACTGTTTTCTTGCTAGTGAAGCATTTAGTTTTTCCACTTACAAAGTCCGCCATGTAAATAGCCAATGCGCTATGGCGCTATGCAACTGACTCTTAAAAAGAATGGGAGATGAGACTCTGATTGGTTTATTCTCAAAACACACCTATAACTCATTAAGGGAATAAGCTCAACCCTGTTAGACCATGCTCTGGGGCGCAAAGTGGATTTTTTCGTCCTTAAAATAGTAAGTTTATTTCTGACATGCCCTTAATGGTTTTGCGCCCTGCACTTTGGACTTTGTGCCAAGATCGTTAAAATAGAGCCCAAAAACTAAACACTATTTGCTGTTTTTTAAAGGGGAAGGGCTACACTATGTCCCACACTCTCCTATTTCAGTTGAGATTATGTCAAACATCAATGAAGCTGAATTAATGAAAATGAAGGTAATTGTATATGTAGTGCACAGAAATAACTTTTTAATCGTGCTCAAGAATCAAGCAGTTTCTATCTAAAGGTCAAATCTGTTAATACAGAAGTGGGCAACTGAATATAGTGTGGAACAGTTGAAAAATATATCTAGCGTCATGCAGAATACAAACTGATATACTGATGTGTTGTGTTGAGTATTGAACAAGGTAACAATTCCACTCATTTGCTTACTCGTAGGTTTGCCAAGCTCCTCCTTCGGCTTCCTGCATTGCGTTCCATTGGCCTTAAGTGTCTGGAGCACCTTTTCTTCTTTAAACTGATTGGAAACACCCCCATTGACACTTTCCTAATGGAGATGCTGGAGTCGCCCCACTAGTTGCGTCAGAGGAAAATTGGGAGATTTTCTGCCCTAGGTCCTGGAGATAACTGTGACTGCACTTTTTATTCCCAGAGGAATTACAGCAATTGGTCAGCCTCTGGTCTGGGGGTAACTTTTTTATTTAATTTTTTTTTTGTCATTTCTTTTCATTTTTTTTTTTCTCTTGACTATCTCTTAAGTGCACCATAGAGTCTAGAGACCCAAAACTTGCCATGAAAAATTATTGGTGCTACATTTGAAAAGTAAGCTAATTCTTCATATATATATATATATATATATATATATATATATATATATATATATATATATATATATATATATATATATATATATATATTAGACAACAAGTTTAAAATGTTTTTAAGTATGGAAGCTCCAGTTACCTGACTGGTTTAGATAAGTGGGGTTTACATTTTGATAGAACCATTTGAGGCTTTTAAAACACTGTGGATGATAAGCTTTAAACGTATGTAAGTGTGCTTCACCATCTCTTAAGTTTGGGTGCTTTCTTCCTGTAAGGCTAATTTATTTTGCCCCTACCTGTAAGGACTGGTCTTGTGGGCAGAGGATAGATAGATGAATGAATTGGTTTGGTATTTTAGGTTTAAATTGACATTTACTTTGCTAGCGAATCTGGCAAAGCAATCTATATGCAATGAAGCTTGAAACGATGCAAAACACGAAAAGACTAGATGTTTAATCTCCAAAAATATTTGCAATTTTTACGTGATATTGTGCAATGTTAGCCTAAATTCAGAGGTGGATGTGGATTTTATCACGTCATGAGTGCCTAACTGACATATGCTTGATATATGTTTTTTTATTTAACGTTTGACAGAAGAATGGAAAAACGAAAAGACGAATCTCTGTTCTTGTCATCGAAGCAGGTCGATTTTCTTTTGCTCTATTTTTGTTTTGCCTGAAGTATCCTAGGCTGAATTTGTCTTAAATCTGCATTGGTTTTAACTAGTTAACCGTCAGTTAATAATACACTCTCTTCTCTTATTGCGTATCAGGTAACTGTGTAAGAGTGATAATTCCTTAAGAAAACTGCACTACACACACAAAAAAATGTCATTCCTTTTATTTTTTCCTTTTTTTTTCGGACCAGTGTCAGATTAAAAACAACAACAACAACAAAAAATAATTAAGTTGGTGCTTCGGAATCGACATTTGATATTACAACCCTAAAAAGTGCACAGGTAAAACTGCAAAAAGGAAAAGTACAGCTATCTTCAGCTTTATAGAGATACTAAATCCGAGCAATATGAGTTCATTGGTGTGGACTTGCTGTTTGTATTTGGAAAACCTTCCAACTTGAAATTTCTACAATTAATTTCCTCTAGTACTGTGCAGACCCTATTGTTCAGGGACATTGTGTAGCTATTGTGTAGACATAGACAGGATCAATATATATATATATATATATATATATATATATATATATATATATATATATATATATATATATATATATATATATATATATATATTTCTCTTGCTTTTATCACTTTCTTTAGTTTGTAGTCGACATACAACTTGCAGAAAAGACATAGTTTGCACTGGATTTTACCATGAATCCTAGACTTGGATTTTGTCTTTTATCTCCTTTCTGTGATCTAAGCTTATTTGCTTTTCGTTTTCTTTTGACCTACCATTGAGATTTGTTTTTCTTTCTTTTCTTTTGCTTTTCCATGGCATCTTTTTGTCCTTGCAGAGAAAGTTATGAGGACAAATGCAAACTCACTTTTGCCATAGATATATCTAACAAACAAACAAGGTTGTTTTTGTATGGTCTTGTACAACCAACATCTTTACTGCATTAGGCATGTTACATGTCTGTTGTTGCACTAAAATTGTCATACAATTATGATTGTAATGAGATTCCATCAGTTTCGATGTTGTCACAGCTCATTTTAGAGGAGCTCTGTGACACTGCAAGAAAACCATCTGCTGTACATGACCCTAAATAAAGGTGGTGATATGTCTAACAACTCTGTTCTTGGAGAGTTTTTTTTTTTTTTTTTTTTTTTGAGGATTGAAGAAAGTAAAAGCTTGGTGAGTGTAAAACTCAATTTCCATTGCAAATTTGCAAGCTAGTTTTTACATTAAAAACTATTATAAAATAACCATTAACCCTTGTTGTATGATTAAAAAGCCTCTTGCTATGAGTCAGGCAATAATATTCAGATATATTGGTTAAACGATCATGTGATTTGGAACAGGTAGTAGGTGCGTTCGACTTCATGCAGCGCTGCGCAGATCAATGTCGACTGTCACATGTGGCATCAAAGCTCTGAGATCAGACGGCAGACTTAGACCGTGCAGCATCTGAAGAGCGGCTGCAGGAGCTCTGATGACGACACCGATATTACACCATTGGCCGAGTTCACCACATGACAATAAACACGTGTATTTCGGGTTTATTATTGGACAAATTGCGATTCAAAAGTTTCAATACAAACAATTCACTTTTCATCTCCTCTCTATCTTGTACACATCATGCTTATTAAAAAACTACAAATATTTTACTGCAGTATCATCTTTTGTTAAATAATCTGGTTATAAAGGCTGGCTTGTTAGCAAAGGTTTATTTTCGACCTTTTTATACAGACTATTTACTGCATTCAGCTCCACAAACAATTTTAATTATATATTTTAGTGAATAACCTATATATGAACTCAAATAAGTCTTACAGACTATAAATAAAATAATTATCATCATTGATCCTGCCACCCTAAAGCTTTCTTAACAAAAATCTTAGAATTCTGAAGTTTTCCTCAGAAGTTATAAAGTCAGAAATAAAATTGTGTTTGTTTCATGCAATTCTGAGATGAAAACTTGCAATAACCTTTAAAAAAAAAAAAATTTGTTCAGTGGCAAAAACTGGCTGTCCGTACATTAATACTAATCAGCGCAATCTGAAACCAGGTGAGTTTTGAATTCCAAAATCCATTGCATTTTTGAACTCATCATAGCTTTTTGACACTGGCAATTTGATTGTGTTGGCACAGGTGCTTGCAATGGGAAATTTAGAAGACCTTTCAAAAATGAGTCTGGGCTGTGGCACAATTGTTGAAGGAGGCAGTGAATCTAATCCCGTGGCAAACATCAAAATGTTCTGGAGGGAGACTCCTGTTTCTTGTTCTGAAAAGATTAAACAAAAAACAAAAGAATATCACAAAATTTGTTATCAACAACAATAAAATATAATGTTCAATCCTTTATCTCCAGTGTCAAGCAGATAGTCTCTCCAGTATCCCAGTATTCTTGTTTCTTCTTGTCGTCTGGTGCTACCAGGTTCACTGAGCTGTGGCTTGAAGACATCCTCCAGAGATACAGATGTTAGACTGTCAACACTGTAGCACATATAGGGTCTGAATGCAATAGGGTGTTGTTCCAGGGCATTAATGACATCCAGGGTGGAAAGCCCATCCCTAAATCTATAACCCAAATAGAAATCACAAAGTGATATCACTTCACTCATAATTATTATATTATCTCAAATTAGGAACAAGACTTACCTTTGTACAGAGTATTGGTTTCTGTATATAATGTACCACAGTATGAAATCCTTCACAATGTTGTCTTTGCCTTTTACACTTTGTGGGAAATCAAAACACCCAGCAGTCTGCAGCAAGCTTTCATACTTCTCAATCAGTGCGTGCAATTCATCTAGTGATTCTGCACTTGATATCTGGGGTAAATGGTTGCAATTAGATTACAAATAACACACACACACACACACACATATATATATATATATATATATATATATATATATATATATATATATATATATATATATATATATAGCAAAAAAATATATATTGTGCCTTTAAATAAACAAACAAATAAATGACTTAAAAGAAACTTGACGCACCTCAATTAAAGCTGCCTTCATGGTTTCATCTGTTACATCCTCAACTGTTCCATTAATGTCAGTCCTACCAATGAGGTAATCATACAGCATGTTCGATAAAAAGCGAGGACCTGGACCACCATGTACAATAGAGACTGCAATCATCCGGCCAGCAAGGAAGTACTCATCTTCTCTGAAAGCTACAGGAAAATATATTTTTTCTAGACTAAGTGAAAAAAGACAGTAATGTAAATTATTAAGCAGTTACAAGCTTGAAGTAAATAATTTACCTGCATTATTAAAGGTGAGAAATCTCCCGTTTTCTGGTCCATCAAAAATTCGCCGTGCTTTTAAACAGTCTATTAGGAGGGTTAGAAACGTTCGAGGTTACAGAAGTAACCCTTCGTTCCCCGAGGAGGGGAACGGAAGTGCCATGAATGGGAGGATTCGTATCAGAAGCCGCTTATCTGGAGAGTATTGAACGGGCCAATGAATGAAATTAATTGGCAGCGTAAGCTTGCGCAGGTGTGCGACATCTGCAATCATCTCAGCATATAAGCACACCTGAAGCCAGCAGACGCCATCCTTTTAAGCTGAAGAGACTTTCAAACAGCTAAGGGACAGTCATTATGGCGACGGAATATGGCACTTCCGTTCCCCTCCTCGGGGAACGAAGGGTTACTTCTGTAACCTCGAACGTTCCCCTTCGGTTGGGGAACTTCAGTGCCATGAATGGGAGAATATGGAAAGCGCCATAATGACTGCACCTTACCAACACCCCCGATGAGGAGATAGTCAAGCAAGCGTGACGCACCCACATCATGGGGGGCGCGGTCCTCCAACGTGTCCCTGGCCCTAATTTATCCTACTTCAACAGAAGTTTTACGGATTTAGATATATTTTTTGGGAAGTCGTGAGCATCTAGATAATTCTAGGAAATACGACAGTACGTTGGGAAGCGTGCAATCCCGATAGGGAGGACGCTGCGGAGGCCATCCGTTACCCAAGGGGGGGATAGATGGCAGAATTTACCTATGGACTAGCCCTAAAAAGGGGGAGTACGCATAGCAAAGAGTGGTTAGCGGAGAGGGAAGACACGGGTCCGCCCAGGGGGGGGACTTAACCGTGGCGGAATAAGCCTATGGGATCGCCTAGTGGGGATCACGCATAGCAGGCACCTATACCCAAAACGCGGGCTGACCAGCGGGCAGACCTACAACGTAGTGGGCCAGCAAGTGACTCCTCCGCTGAGTCAGTGCTGGGGGCCACGGAGGAATCTGCAGGGCTCACCTGACGGGGAACTTTACTGACAGATAAAAAAGGCGCACGTACCTCCGTGTTAGGGAGAATGGCGCAGCAAGCGTGTTTCAACACCCTACCGAGTTGTCTCCTCAATCACCAAAGGGTTACCTAATACCCTTGAGGAAACCGGCTCCACT